TTCATTAAAGACCGCAAGATTTCTGTATGCTACAGGGTTGATGTAGTGTGGGTCCTAGTAAAAAATGACAAAAATGGAAATATTTCTGATTACCCTTAAGTGGAAATTATAAGCAGAAATTTCAAAGAATTAAGATTGGATATTGTTATGGATGGACAAAAGTAAGCATAGGCCTCTGTTGTGACAGGTGCAAATTACTGTATTATAAACTAACAGAAACCAGAGAGGAGAAATGTGTGCATCGTTTTGCTGAAGGTAGCTTAGTTTTGTTCCTCAGAAGTAGTAAATTTTCCACTTGCATGTTATTTAAACACTACTTCCAGGTAAATCAGCAAGATGTTAAGAGGAAAATAATCTCAAACCCAAGAGACTAGCACTTAGTGCATAGTGTCCATTATCTTCACTGCTTTTTGAACAGTTCTCACTTATTTCTTACGTGTTATGTGATGTGGTAAGAGTAAAAACTAAGTAATTACAAGCACTGATCCAGACTTGAGGAGAATATGGAAGGATGCTCTTTAGCCAAAGAGAAAATGACAGGACAAGAGGCAGTGGGCACCTACTGCTGAAACAAAGGAGGGTTTGCCTGGACGTAAGGAAGCACTTCACTGTGAGGGTGACTGAGCACTGGCACAGGCTGCTCAGAGAGGCTGTGGAGTCTCCAACCTTGGAGATACTCAGAAGTTGTCAGGACATGGTCCTGGGCAACTGGCTCTAGGTGGCCTTGCTTGAGCAGGTGGGTTGGACAAGATGACCCCCAGAAGTCCCTTCCAACCTCAACCATTCTGTGAAATAAAAACAGCTTTATGCACTAACAGCTTGGGGGATCTGTTGTATTTATCATCTGGGGTCATGGTCACTGAAAGAATGTTAAATTTGGACAAAGGTATAATGACCTCAGTAATGCAAAAAACATCGCTCTCCAGAAAAATAAGAACTGAAATTCAGTAAGGACAAATTTAAGTTCAGACACAAATGTTGGGTTGAAGAATTTAAATAGCGTACCTAGTCAAGAATGAAAACAGTTATGTAGGCTACTTGACAAATTGATTTTACTCAGCATAACATTTCAGATGTAATGTTATGAAAAGCATATGCAGACAAAAAAGCCAAAGTTTCCTTTCTTTGTCTTAAAGAGGCTGTGAGCATCGGTTTAATGTTGGGGTTCTGATACCAGACATATGCCTGTCCCCTGCCTCCATTTACCTTTCTAGTAGAGGCTAATTGCTGTTGTCTTAAGGAAGGAGGAGCCATTTTCAGATAAAGAATAGATGAAGTGAAGAAACACTATGAAATTGCTACAGCCAAAGCTTTCCAAAATTGCTGCAGCCCTGTATCAAAGCGCAGCAAAGCTGTGCTTTCTGGTGGAGTCAGGGTCATAAGGACAGTAGGATGCAGTGGTCCGAGTTGTCGAGACACCACTGAGTTTCCACTGTATATTTCACAAATGGTGTTACAAAGACCTTCCAGATGACATGTTTGTATCTGTCCCCCTCAAATACAGGAAATGCCATCATTTGTATTTCGCAGAAAAACTATTCTGACAGCAGCTGTAATTTCTAATGTATCTATAGATGTGCTCTGATACTGACTGGAAGCCTTGGATGTGATACAAGGTACTTGTCAGCATACATGACTGCACGTCAAAGTGTATTGAGAGAGAGAGAAAGTGACGATTGAACCTCAAATCATAGGTTATCTTGGCTTTATTTCCAAGTCCCCCATTAGAGCTGAGAGTCCAATTTCAAGCTCTCTCTTTAGGATATATATTGGGGGAAGGAGGGTTAGACCATCAGCTATGTTTCCTCAGTCATTGTTGAAAATGTTGGTGATAGATCCATTTTGTCAGAAAAAGCTTGTAATACTTTCTTCTTCTAGTCAAACCTTCACACTCAGCCCCACCTGTCCCCCAAATAAATAAAGATCTGCCTGACCTGCAGCTTCTCATCAGATTTTGGCAAAGCTGTGTTGAATAGGAGTGATGTTAAAATACACTTTTTGGCAAGATGTAGATGTGTACCTTATGGTCCCTTTTCTGGTCCCTGCTTAAGCAGTGGGGTTGGACAAGGTGACTTCCAGAGGTGCCTTCTAACTTCAATCATTCTGTCATTCTGTTACTTACGGATAACTGCTTGTGGGTTTGTTTTCACCTTTTTTTCCCTCCGTTCTTGTTTTGGCATTTGTTGTGGTTTAGCCACTGTTGGCAACCAAGCACCACACAGCCACTCACTCACACCCACCCACCCCTCCCAGTGGGATGAGGTAGAGAATTGGAAGAGAAAAGTAAGAAAACTGTTGGGTTTGAGATAAGAACAGTTTAATAATTGAAATTTTTAAAAAAAAGTTGTAATGAAAAGGAGAACAACGAGAGAGAGAGAAACAAAACCCAGGAAAAACAAGTGATGCAATTGCTCACAACCTGCTGACCGATGCCCAGCCAGTCCCCCAGCCAACTCCTCCCAGTTTATATACTGAGCACGATGTCGTATGGTATGGAATATCCCTTTGGCCAGTTTGGATCAGCTGTCTCAGCTGTGCCCCCTCCCAGGTTTTTGTGCACCTGGCAGAGCATGGGAAGCCAAAAAGTCCTTGACTAGTGTAAGCACTACTTAGCAACAACTAAAACATCAGTGTGTTATCAGCATTATTCTCATATTAAATCCAAACCACAGCACTACACCAGCTACTAGGAAGAAAATTAACTCTATCCCAGCTGAAACCTGGACAGCATTCCATCTTGCCCAAAGCAGTTTGTTACCCTTTGGCATCACCATGGCCCAGTATTTATACAGTGATGTCATTTGCTTCCATGAAGGAATGATTTGCGGGGGTGGGGAGCAGTTGGGGTGGTTTTTTTCCTCAAGCTTTGAACTGCCAAAAGAGAAGAACTCTTTCCAAAAATGAAGGGTAATGCAAAGTGCTTCAGTTTTCCAAGGATCCATAATTCTAGTGTAAGTAGTGAAAAGCTACAATTATAATAACCATTTGAGAAATCTTACCTCTGAATAGAAATGGAGATGTAAATTTTTAGGACTCTTGTTTGTAGAGAAAAGACGTGAGCATTACAATCAGGCTATAATGTAGCTTCTGCAAAATATGTCCTCATTATTGTAAAGGTTACTTGACTAATTTGTTTCACTGGGCTTCTGTGATTCCATTTCTGTTGTCCATGCTTCCTCATACCGTGTTTCATGATGCTAAGAGCCAGATGGGCTTTATAAAAAAAGTTGCAATTCAGTAGCAGAAGCAAGTTGCTGTAACGCTGGCTTTTGTGACCTCTCTGCTTCAGCAATGAATCTTGAGAGCTTGACGAGAAGTGAGCAGCGACAGAAGGCTGAAGGACAGAAGGCTGTGTGATGGGCTCAGCCACTAGCCTTAGGGCTGCCTCAGAGCTGTTCTGGGTCACGTTAGAGCAGCTTGAGGTGATCTGGTACGTGCTGCCAGTCTGAATCCAGAAGAAGGAATGCCCCGGGTCTCAAAGTCTTGGGCAATGTTAAAATGCTGACTGCTGAGCAATCCCATTAAAAGTGGCTCTGGCAGATAGGCTGTCAGTGGTAGCTTCCCCAACTTGAATTCACTGGACAGAACAACAGAAACACGGTACTCTCTGAATAGAGCATAGAGCAGTTTCATGTTGGTCCCGTGTACTTTGGTGAATACTGTAATGCAATTGTACAGATCGGTGTGCTGGCCTGCCCTATTGAACTGTTGCAGTCATGCCTGCAAAAAGGGATGTATCTTCTAATGGGGGTAGGATAAAAGCTCTAGCTGCCAGAGTTCTGCATTGTAAGGAAAATTGTTGTAGCTAAGGAAAACCAAATCCTAGCTATTGCTGCGTAGCCAAGTTTTAGTACAGTTTTCACCAAAAAGTGTGGGTTTTTTTTTCCTCAGTGAGAAAATTTAACTTCATGAACCAGCTATCATACATGGCAGGAAAGATGTTCTCTTTATCCAAGAGGAATAGGTACAAGCAATCTGCCCTACTAGAAGGCTCTGATATTAGTACCTTTCTGTGGTTTGGTCCAGTTCTGCTTTTTTCATCTCTGGGACTGTTTTTTCAACCGTATCAGCACCCAATAGATTAGATATCTGAGGTTTCTGTTATGGAAGAATGAGAGCACTGGGGAAGTGTACCTCCTTTTGTGGCATCTAGGAGTGTGTCCAGAAACGATTTCATTAGGTCTGAGCTAGGGTGAAGTTTAAATATGCATGCCAAAAAAAATTAGCACAAAACTCTTGAAATGAGATTGTAGCTCTTGAGTTTTTGCTGGGGGTTGGGGACTAATACAAGATTACACAGTTCGTGTTGAGAGCAAGTGTTTGTATAATGTATATTCTAAGGAGGAACAAAATCTCTTTATGCTGGAGTGTGAAGCGTTTCTTAATTACGGCCATATTTCATTCTTCTAAGCTTCATAAGAACTCAGATTCTTTCCAACTGACTCATTCATTTGAACTCTTCCATGCATCATCTTACCATTTAAAGGCCTTTCTTGGTAACAGTCATCTCTGTATGCTAAGGGATGTATTACTCTATGAGTCTCTCTTCTAATAGATGCGACTCCTCAGTTGCAAAATAACACACTCGGGAGTTCTCTGTAAGAGTCCCCTTTCCTCTGATGGCCGTTTTTAGTGTAATTTTGAGCTGTTACAAGCTCTTAGCGGCCTATCTGTAGTTAACTGATATGTACCTTGTAGAGAATGAAGAGCTTTAATAATTCAGGATAAGAATTTTCTATTATATCTGGGAAGAAGTTTTAATTATTCCCAGAATATACTGAACTGCTTGGTGCTTATATTCAACTATGCATGTGGAGTGTTTTCTTTAGCAGCTCATTAGTTTTGGACTTGTGGCCTGTTTTGAATTTTGTGACGTTGAAACTTGTAGCTTTTTGGTACAGCATAAGTTGCTTCCTGGAATACTATTATTAAAGAAAATGCTATGTATTAATCAAATGTATACTCAATAATCATGTATTTTGACTTCCATGTCTTCACAGAACCATTCTCATGATCATTTACTAGACACTAGTGACTCGAGAAAACAGCAAGCTAATCAGCATAACTACCGTACAAGATACGCAGTAGAAGAAACTGCAAGGCCTGCTGAAGAGTTAGAAAATGGGCACAGTTCCTCAGATGTAAGATCCTTATTCATGAGGCAATCTTATATATTCCATTTCTACTCATTAGCTCCTTCAGCTAATAAAAAATTGTTTCTAGTGGAAACTCGGGTTACGTTTTTCATTGTGTGGTTTTTTTCCACCTCTCTTAAAACTTGATATTGAATTAGGTTTTCACGTGCTGTTGATTGTGTTTAGTTTTGACTAAAATGTAATTGACAAAAGGAAGAAATGCTCATTTGTAAGGACATTTTACGAAGTATACATGTGCTATGTTAAATCTTCCCTGTATTTGTGAGCCTTACCAGTATGGCCCATATGGCCTATCAGTATCGTCACTGGCTCTAGGTGGCCCTGCTTGAACAGGGAGACCAGACAATACGACCTCCAGAGGTCCCTTCCAGCCTCAACCATTCTGTTCCTCTGTAGCTACAGTTGAGAAGTAAGAGTATATAAGGTTCATACTGGGGTTTTGTTCTATATTAATTGAAGAGATGTGGAAATACTACATTAAAAAGGGCTGGAAATAATTTTCAGAAAGGTAAGCTAGCCTTTTTAAATGGAGATTGAGAAGCAGTTAGGTCTCCACTGGTTATATGTTTAAACAAATGTTGCTTTACACTGTGCATCTGTCCAAGCACAGATATTTTCTTATTTTCATTTAATTAAGTCCATTAAAGTAAGTATCTGCAAACTGAAGTGCCTTTTTAACAACATAAAGCTTTTATAATGCTATTAGTTTATAACGCATATAAAGCCTAGAAGAGTCTCAGTCATATTGTCATGTATTAAACTTTTTTGATTTCTGAAGAAAATGCTTTCTTTTTCCCTGCCTTGTTAGGAAGGAGAAGTAGTTGTTGCCAGTGGTGGAACATCAGAAGATGATGAAAGAGCATGGCACAGTGATGGCAGTTCTAGGTAAGTGACAGTATACCTTACAGAGAAAAGTCCTGCTGATAAATTCTAAATAATCTTCTCTGTAAACAGTTAATTAGTAATAACTAAAACTTGTAGACATTTAGAAGAAAAGATGAAAAAGAATTTAAAATTTTCAGGATTTCATTTTCAGCTATATTACTAACTAAAATTTAGGGAAGGTTTCATCCTTGTTTGCCAGAAGCAGAATTGTTTCCCATTGGTTTTGCAGGTTTATTCTTTGCAGGCACATACATGCTTCAGGCATTTGGTAGCAGTTTCCTATGACTGTCAGTCTGAGCTGTGTGACTGCCTCTGCTGACGCTTGGTTTGAAATTAGAGAGCAAAGACTGAAGTAGCTTCAACCCATCCTTTGTTTCTTCCTTAGCAGATTTTTTTTTTGTTAACTTTTGTTCAAAGCTATTCAAAGCCAGAAGTCCTGAGAACTGTATCCAGACTTTAACGTGTCATCTTGAACTGACCAAGTGAACAGTGGATTTACTTCTAGTGATGCTAGAAGTTGAACTTCTTACCAGACTGAATGATCTCCAGGCTTTTGGTTTACTACCATTTAAATTGTAGATAGAATATAGGGGTTTGGGCACTGTTTGTAACTATTAAAATATTGTAATTATCTAGACTGGTAACTATAATCTTGTATTGGGTTGTATTCTATAATTCAGTGTACTCTGAATTGCTTTTTAACTTCTGATTTTTTAATTTCTTTTTTTTTCCTTTGGCATATCATATGTAGTGACTACTCCAGTGATTATTCTGACTGGACAGCAGATGCAGGAATCAATCTGCAACCACCAAAGAAAATTCCTAAAATTAAAACAAAGAAAGCAGGAAGTAGTTCAGAGGATGAGGAAGGACCTGAAAAACAAAAGAAGCAAATTAAAAAGGAAAGGAAAAAAGGCATTGAGGAGAAAGATGGACCATCAACATCACCAAAGAAGAGGAAACCCAAAGAGAGAAAACAAAAGGTTAGATGTTCTTTGTATATTACAAGGTGCTCACTCTGCTATCTTCGAAAGAATTAGATGAATGGTTCAGTTATGTATACAACTTAATATTGTCTAATCTGAAAACACATCAGGACTTTTACTAGTAATAAATGATAATTACTGACTTGTCAAATGATAGATTGCTGTAATGATACGCTTTCTAAATATGATGCATTTCACTTAATGAACACTTTTAATGTCCTTAAACACCATCTTTTCTCAGACCAGAAACTTCCTTTTTATGGCTGTATTGAGTATTGGTATAACATGTACCTGTATTTTTTCAGCTGTACTGAGTGTCTTCCTGATTAATTGCAATTTCTTTCAGGTCTGCACAATCATGCAATTTTTTTTCTATCAATTCCACGATGTATGATACTTGCATTATGCTTGCCACTGTACTTCCATCAAGGGGAATTTCACTTGATCAGGGTTTTGTTGCTGTCTGTGTTTTGTTTGCTTTCTAATATAACCATGTCATTCCAGTTTAGATTAGTACATGGAGATTTCCAGTGACTTTTTGTTATTTTCAGTGTGGTGTGGTTTTGGGGGGGTTGTTTCGGTTTTAATTGTGCAGATCAGAAAACACGGGTTCTTCATTCTTTCTTTACAGGGACCAGAAGTGATCTATCTGGTAGATGCTAAGTGCTTTCATAAGCTCATAGCTGCTATTTTTGCAATACCCAAGGAAACCAACTGTATCATCTAAGTAACTGAATAGCTGTATTTTGGTTATTCATAAGATTAGGAGTCCTCAGCATTCCTTAAGATCATTATTTCAGGATTTTGGCCCTCATTAGAAGGAAGACTGACAAAACAGCTGTTTTAATATGCAGGCTGGCATAGTATCAGCTTTGCTGTTAATCTTTGGTAAGATATGCAGGATGTCAGGTGGTAGTCTTTACTCTTTGATTAGGCTACTTTTTGTTTATTGTACACAGTTGGTTGTAGTGTCAACACTAAGAGTATCTTAAAAAGGGCTGGTATTTACACAATCTGAAACCAGAATAAGGTATGAGATCAGGGAAATAAATGGGGGGGGGTGTTAATGGTTGAAAGCTCTAGTTTAGCTTTTTATTATAAAACATAAGACTGGCTGACAGCCTGGTATTTCCACTTACTTTAAAGCTGAACTGGATGTTGTGGGAATCTTGCATCCATTTTGGTCCCAGTTATTGAGATGCAGGAGGTCTTTGATTCCAAACATATCAGACTTAGATATTTCACATTTTTAAAGATTACTTGCTCCATTCTTGAATCACAATAAAATATTAGGCTGGAAGGAATATCAGAAAATCATGCCTCTTCCCTCTGCCCCTAGGTAGGGTTAATTATGCCTGTCTTTCCTGACAGATGTTTGTCTTCAAAGTTTCTTGTGGTGGATATTCTACCTCCTTACTGGGCAGAGAGTTCACAGTCCTTACTGGTAGAAAGTTCTTCCCATCTCCTGAACCTGAATCAAAATTAGGGCTTTCTCTTGAGGAAAGGAGTTTTGACCATCTTTGTAGCCATGCACAGAATCTTAGGAATTAAGAAAGGAGTAGAGAAAGAATGTCATTCTTCTCTATTAATGCATGGGCTGTCGAGATCTTGAATGGTGCTTACTTTTCTAATCCCCCTCTGCCAAAAATCAATCTAAAACGCGATACAGTGGTGAAGAAGGGCAAGACAGGAGCACCCAGGAAGATCAAAGGGTACAGAATATTTTTTCTTTGGGGCAGACACAAAGAGACTGACTCTTAGAAGGGAGAGAGTTTGGAGGAGAGATGATAAAAAAGCTTTTATAAAACTACAAATGGTTTAGAAATGAATAAATGCAGAATGATTTCCTTTCTTATTTTGTTACAGTGAGACGTAACACCCAATGACACTGACATGAAGCTCAAAAAAGAGCACTTTCCCCATTCAACCCCCATCCTGTGAAAGCAAACAAAAACCCCAAACCACCCGAGCATGTAATCAGGTTGTGGAACTAGTTACTAAAGGATTTAGTAGAGTTTTACAAATGATTAGACAAATTCAGTGGGACTGGTCTCTTCCTAATGATTAACTGTGATGGCCTGAGTTCAGGTTTAGCTTCCAGAGGGTCTTAAACTGATTATTAATGTGTGAAGTTACAACAAGGGAAGATTTTCTGTTTAAAGGCTATTTCTTATTACCTTCCCATAATTCGCCAAGGAGCTAGACAGACTGCTCTGACGCAGTGCATCAGTTTTTCACAAGGCAGACCTGCTTGAAGCTGAAAATCCACAGGGTGCTTCTGTGTCACTGATTCATTGCAATGGAGACATTCTGTTTTGATTTTTTTGTTTGTTTTTAACGGTGTGTATGCTCTGTCCTGTGGTACACACCAGTGCTCCAGTGGTGCACCCAAAGCAGTTCCCACCCTGGTGACACCACACTTGAATTTGTGCAATGGAGTTACACTTGGAGTATCCCATTTGCAGTCTGGGCATGCAGGGTCTTCCATCAGTGACTATATGGAGTGGATTTCTGTACAACCATCCAAGGTTGCTTTCTATACATGGACAAGATGCTGTTAATAATTTCAAAGCAACTTTGCTTGGATGGCTGTACAGAAGCCTGGTTTATCTGGCCTATCAGGTATAGACATGCCGTGTGCACCTAGGACCAGCACCTGCAGTGAGCTTCGTTACTTAGAAATAAATGATGTCGACATACAATCTGAAAAACGCAGTTCCGCAGCACACTAGTAAATACGCCAGTAGGTAGCATGGATGTGCCCAATCCGGGTCATTTCCATATGCCTTGCCTCTGCTCATGTTTGTTAGTCTCTTCCTCCTCATTTTGCGGGGTTCCTTAATTGGAGGCAGCTGTATAGTTGTAGTGTCTTGTGGGCCAAGGCAACCATGTGAATTTGGCTAAAGAAAATGGCATATTTCCATTTTCTTTATCTTTCTGGGCATGAGACATAGTTATTGGAGTGTTAATAAATTCAGTCTTTGTTAGAAGAGCCCCACCACCACCACCACAAAACCAACAAGCTAAAAAAAGCCCCACTAAAAAAAATCCACTTAGTTTTTTAGATTATTAATGTTTTCGGTCTTAGTGTTACTGTAAGTAGTTAAGTAAGTTTTATCTTCACGCTGGCAATAGTTTCCTTTTTGCATTAAGTATACTTAAGAAATGGCAGTTGATTTTAATAAAACACTTCCCAAAATACAAGGCTTCCCCAAAATGTTATTTTATTCATATTAATCTTCTGTGTGCATTTTCTTCAGAGGCTGGCTGTAGGAGTTCTGACAGAAAATGGTTTGACACTGGAAGAATGGCTGCCTTCAGCATGGATTACAGACACTGTTCCTCGTCGGTGCCCGTTTGTGCCACAGATGGGGGATGAGGTATTGTAATTTTTTCCTCTGTGTTCTTGGTTCTTTCAGCTTGTTTTTGCCGTTTTTATTTTCATCTGTGCATTTTTTCCAGAGATTTAATACCGTTTATCATCAGAATATTTTGGATTTTCTTCAGAACGTTCTTTGATCTGGCTAAAATTTGCTTCACCTCCTTTAGTCTTTCCCATACTTAAAAAATATTCTGCACAGTGTTGCTTTGACTTTATTCCATGCTCTTGCAGTAACATTCCTTCTTGTACTATGTTCAGCGTGTTATATGACACATGTATACAAGCTGTGTGAAATGTCTAGTGAAACTAGTCCTTAGTTGTAGAGATTCTTGTAAGCTGAAGAATAGGTAAGAAATTAAAAACAAATTTAAGTTGTTTGGAAAACTTCATTTTGGGACTTGAAATAAAACCCAGGAATTAAATCTTTGGGGGGAGGGTGGGGTTTTTTATGTTGTTTCTTTTTTAAATTCATGTATTCTGAAGAAAATAGCTGATGCTGTCCTTTCCCCTTCTGTTTCTGATATCAGAAAACTTCTGCTGGTCTCTTAAGACAGAAAACCACAAGAGAAGTTTTGTATATATGTATTTTATACCAACTAGACTGTAAACACTTTGTAAACATGTCCCAGATGTCTCAAAATACAGTAGCAAAAGGACACCCACCAATTTTCTACTTTGAAATATATAGCATGTGAACATTACAGTCAATTGTATGAACAAGTAGTAATCCAATAGAAGGCAATCTTGAAGACCAGAGTCTGTGCATGTTTCCTAAAATCCTCTCAGGTTAAAATAAGAGGAAATAGCTGGCTTATGCTGTAAGTGTAGTCTCTTGGCTCTTCAGGGAGCAGCTTGTTTCTGAGGTACTAAACAGAGTTCTTGTACAGTTCATACCTTCAGTATGCAGTTGGAGAAATACTTGACGTGGTGGCAAAGTTGATTAACTTTGGTCTTGAGCTAGAGCTGTTGGGAGGTACCACCTTAGAAACTGAATCAGAAGCAGAGGGTGTATGTGCAAGCAGTTTTGTTTTTACTGGATCACTTCACTGATGCAGTTCACAGCATAGCTATGCAAAAATTACATCGGCATTGCTAGTGAGTGAGGGAAGGAGCGCTCTAAATCGAGAGTTGCAACTGGAGAAAATGCTTATGTATTTATACTCTCCAGCAAGCATGTTTTGGAGACTGTGCCTTTCAGAAGATCAAGTCCAAATAAATATATTTGGTGCCTGATACCATCTGGATACAGTGAAGCAGCCAAGGATTTCTCTGTACCATGTTACCCAGGAGACTTAAACAGCGTACCGGTTTAGTAAGATAAACTGGTGTGTTTGGTTTGGCACCTGCTTAACAGCTTGTGCAGTGTGTACTAGGAATATCTAAGTAGGCTGCATTCTTTTTGCTGAAGAATGTTTTATATTGGTGAACAGGAAATTTCCTGTCATGTGCCTAGAAAGTAGGAGTAGTTGCACCAATAGAGAGTGTGTTTGTAATCAAGCTACTCTGTCTAGAATTTCATCTCTGATACTTGCCCTCCCCAGGTTTGCTTAATATGTGAAAAGAAGCTATTCGTCTAGAAAGTTACTTTTGAGATCCACAAAAATAAAAGATCGGTTTAATTAGAGAAATATGAGAAGAGGTCTCGTGTGGCCTTCGAGCATTTTGGTGGATTGTTGGTATGTTTTATAAGATTTGGGAGGAGGCATATTTCAAATTTGTTCTCTTACAGCTGTACAAACAAGTAAGAAAAAACAGCAGTGCTATTTTTAGTTATACTCAGTGCATAAGAATAGCATGTACCATCCCTTTTCCCTTTCTGAATACTGCCATTTACAGACCTTTGTCATGTGTCTTATGGAACAGTGAAAACACACAACAGAGACATGGGACTGCAGTTTCCCTGTCTGATTATCGAAATAGAATGCATATTCATTGGAGTATTCTGCCATTAACACAATACAGAACAGTTTTGTCTGGGTACTACAGCAAACATGCAAAAGCAAGAATTTATCAAAATTGAAAATATAATTTCCTGGAAAAAAAGCATAAATTCCTTTTTCCACATATATCTTTCTAATTTGTTTTTCTGAGAGAAGATGCAATGCTTAGAGCTATTTACAAAGTAAGAATGTTTCACTTCAGTAAACAGTGGGTTGAATTTATGTAGAGGTTTAGCAGAAGCAGTAAGTGTAGGAGGAATTGTTCGTAGCCTGTGCCACTAAGTGGATTTTTTTTGTTTTGATTCACTGGAAGGTATGGGAAACAATTTTCACAACGTTGAAAGTGTAATTTAAATTGGCTTTATTTTAGATCTGTCTCTCAGTAGCCTCTGTTCCTTTCTTGCCAGTTAGATTCTGATAGTACATAGGAGATTCTTGCTGCTTTCATGCCTTCTGTAACTGCTGTGCGGTTTTTCCCTATGAGGATATTGTGCATGTTGAATACTCTGAAAAATAAGAGTTTAAAAAAATTGTGGTGCTGAGTCCTCCATTTAAAAAAAAAAAAAAAAACAGGTCATGCGACATTAAGAAAGTTTAGTAACTTAATGTAGAAACTTGACAGACACTTGTTTATAATGTTTTATGATACAACATGGGGGACTTCAACTTGCCAGACATCTGCTGGAAATACC